ATACTAAAGCCCGGTCTGTGATCACGTAGAATTTTGTCCAATGACCCCAAGCTATCCATCCTTATCGCTCGCGCGTAATTATGTTGCTTTCGCGCTCACTGCGGGCGCCCGTCGCACAGTCGTGACAGCAATACAGACCAGACTATAGTCACTTACACTTTTTCCACTTCCGCACAACATACCTTTGTTTGTCACCTGTCGTCCGCTTTGCAATGGGAGGAAGTCGAGCCTTAATTTCCAACTCCTCGTATGTTCTTCTGATTAATTTCGTTGCGGGTCCAATGAAAGTTTCACTTTCCCCCGGGACAAACTTGACCTTCACTGGTTGGGTGTTTATTGGCGGTCAAGCTGTAGATCCTGGCTACACAGGAGTTGCAGCGGTGGGAACGAGAGGTGGGAATAATCTCGTTATGTAGTCTCATCTAGGCAACATTTTACTTGAAAATGTTTTTGATGGGTTTATTACAGGTTACCAAACATCGAAACGGTGTTGCAAGGGTACGGAATGACGGAAGCCACCCTGGCCATCACCAGGGGCTTGCCAGACCACAAGCAGAAACCAGGGAGCGTCGGGAAGCCCGTGCCGTGCGCTGTTATGAAGGTAATAGGTTCTTGCCATAAAATTTCTTTTTTTCATCATCAATGGTACACTATTACAATTCACAAGTCTTCAGATAGTTCACACTGAAAAATAAAGTCATAAAATTTTAAGATAAAGGCAATTTAATCCTGTTCTTAAAGAGAACCCTTTTAAAGGCACGGGGGCTAGGGAACCATGTCAGGGATTTTTCGATCGATTTCAATTAAATAAAAGTAACAGCAACCAAATAGCAACTGTCTATTGGAATGAAGGCTATCTTTTAGTACTTAACAGTTGGCGCCACTGTAGAGTAAGGTCCTGTCACACACTAGTAGATAACTGGTGAGCACTGACGTGGTGGGAGGACTATAGCATTTGCACTAACCAAGATAACGCCACGTAAGGTCCTGACACTGCTGAGCACTAAAACGCTAGCAGCCCTTCATTCGATCCCGTTGCGAGCATTAGAACGAGTATGATGAGCACATAGGTACTTAGGTTAGATTTCCCACCAGATTTGTATGCATTACCTATCCGTTGTCTACTCGTCGTCTACTCATCATTATCATTTCAGCCACAGGACGTCTACTGCTGAACATAGGCCTCCAATGATTTCCACAATGGCTGGTTGGTGGCGGCCTGCATCCAGCACCTTCCTGCTACCTTTATGAAGTCGTCGGTCCACCTTGTGTTGTCTACTTTCTATTTAGTTATACGAGCTTTGCTTACTTTTGAGACTAACTTATTTCTTTTTCTAGGTAGTCGATATAGACACCAGAGTACCCCTCGGGCCGAACCAGCCTGGTGAGATCTGCGTCAAAGGCCCAATGGTCATGAAAGGCTACGTGGGGAAGGAACGGAAGGCAGACTTCGATGACGAAGGCTTCTATATGTCAGGGGACGTTGGGTATTACGATGAAGATGGCAGCTTCTACATTGTGGACCGGATGAAGGAGCTGATCAAGTATAAGGCTTTACAGGTGAGGTGTTTTTGTAACATTTAAAGAGGGTATACTTATAATAACAGAACTGTTTTAAATACAGTGAACTGTAAAATGTTCGGAACGCATCGAGGTAGAATATTGTCGACAAAAACAAAACTTCAAGGATGGACTCACCATTTCAGTCACAAGACGTCCATCTAGGTTCTAGGCCTAGGCCTTCTCCAATGATTTCCACATCACTCGGTTGGTAGCGGCCTGCATCCAGCTGCCTTCCTGAGGTCGTCACACCGCCCGATGCCGCACTACCACCATCCAGGTTCTTCTAAGACCTCCACCAGATCGTCGGTCTACTGAGACTGCCCACATTACGTTTTCCGGTCTATGTATGCCACTCGAGAACTTATCTGAACAGACCGACTGGATCGGGTGGAAATCGACTATTCGGCAGTCGCACTTCTGGCACCGGCCTGGCACTGGACCAGATACAATAAAAACCGAATCGTCAACACACGCTCTAATGGTCATCAGTTTTATGAGTTATGTGCACCAAACTTTACTATTTCTACTTCAAACTTGTCCCAGGTCGCCCCAGCTGAAATCGAGGCTCTCCTATTAGAACACCCGGCGGTGCGTGACGCAGGTGTAGTAGGGGTGCCAGACAAGTCAGCAGGGGAGGTGCCGCTCGCATTCGTGGCCAGGCAGCCGGGCGCCAGGGTCACTGGCGAGGAGATACAGCAGTTCGTGGCTGAGAGAGTAAGTGTCTGCTGTCTTCTAGAAAACCTGTCAATCTTTAAGGAGCTACCAGCTTGTCCACTAAGTACTTAGTGGATCTTTGGAGACCAGTGACAGACCTGGAGATAGCAGCAATTTGTGGCTGAGAGATTGAGTACTATATCTCTGCTGTCTTCTAGAAAACCTGTCACCTTCTATCATAAGCAAAAAGACACACTTTGGGATCTTTGAAGGCAAGTGACTGACAAGAATCAAAGTGGCTAAAAGAGAAGGTAAGAACAATCTGCTGCCTCCTAGAAAAAATACGTCTCCTGTGCTGTCACTAAAGCTAGATAAGCATCTGACCAAGTAGATGTAGTGGGATCTTGGAAAAAAGTGACTGACAAGGAGATACAGCTTCAGTTCCTGGTTGTAAGAATACCTATATTTGACTGTGTCTTCTAGAAAACTTGTCACCTTTAGAGATAGACCCACTACTTTGTGACTGAAAAGGGAGATAACAGCATTTGTAGCTGAGAGAGTAACATCATTGCTTTCTAGAAAATCCATCTTCTAAGGACCTACAGCACCACTAATCGCTCTATGGTGAGTATATCCCTGCTGTCTCGCTCTAACTGTTAGAACACCCGGCGGTGCGCGACGCAGGTGTAGTAGGGGTGCCAGACAAGTCAGCGGGGGAGGTGCCGCTCGCATTCGTGGCCAGGCAGCCGGGCGCCAGGGTCACTGGCGAGGAGATACAGCAGTTCGTGGCTGAGAGAGTGAGTGCCTGCTGTTTTATAGAAAACCTGTCACCTTCTACCAAGCAAACCCACTAGTGGCTCATTGGAGACAAGTAACAGACAAGTATAGAGCTGTTGGCTGTTCGTGCCTGAAAGAGTAATTGCCTGTTGTCTTCTACAAAACCTGACATCTTCTACCAAGCAAATCCATCATTGGAGACAAGTGACTGACTGATGAGGATACAACAGCTTTTCGTGGCTGAGAGAGTAAGTACCTACATTAGAAAGATACGTAATACGTATCCTGTCCGTCTTTTAAAAAAACCTTATATTTTAAAAAAACCTGTAACCTGTCTTTAAGCCTAACTAGCAAACCCACTATACTCAAAGCAGACTTTTGGATCTTTGGAGACAAAAGAAGAAAAGTAGGTACATACCTTACTTACTTGTAACGACTGTCTTGTTTTCATTTTTTTTTTCAATGACCACCGGTTTAACCAATCATGGCTTATGTTGCGTGGAAGACGTTTTTAGTCCATTTTACTCACTTAATTTTGTCCGTTCTCCTGTATTCTGCCTTTGCATCTTTTTAACCAAATGAAGTCTAAGTCTCTTCCAAAGATTTGCTGCCCGCATCCCGCGACCTTCACTAGTTCGTCTGTCCATTGAGTGAAATTATTATTTTTTTATTTTAAGGACGAAGTATGCCTTCTCGTAGCAAAAACCCAATCCCAGTCTTGAATCCTGTACTTTAATTAAATGAAGTTATCTTTTTCGTTCCAGCTTTCCAATCCAAAGCGTTTGCGAGGCGGCGTGCGGTTTGTGGAAGCCATACCAAAAAACCCGAGTGGGAAGATCCTGAGAAAAGAACTGAAGAAAATGATCAATTCTAGGAAGAGCAAATTATAATGATAATTGATAATACATAAAAGAATTGTTTGTATCTACTTACTTTTCGTTCGCGCAGGTTTCAGTGATATGTGTTTATTTTGATCCGTCCAGCACTTTATGGATGAAGGACAAAAATCCTTTAGCATGTGGTAACGATCTTTCGCGTTATCTAGATGTTTTTTTTAATAATTATTAGGTACTATGTTATTTGTTTAGTTGATTAAGATTGTAAATAAATAAAATTAAAGGTTACAAAATGGACGGTAGGAGTTAAATATTGTGGAAACTGTAAAAAGGGCTTTGAGATAAATATTTTTTGAATAATGCCTGTTTTCTTTATTCATTTGCATTTCAGCCACAGGACGTCCACTGCTGAACATAAGCCTTCCCCAATAATTTCCATAATGACCGGTTGGTAGCGGCCTGCATCCAGCGCCTTCCTGCTACCTTTTACGATGTCGTCTGTCTATCTTGTGGGTGGAACTTCGCAGTTAGTTCTGCGTACTATGTGCCCTGCCCATTGCCACTTCTACTTGCTAATCCGTCGGGCTATCAACCGTATTCACAAACGATGCTGGCTTAAGTGAAGCAGCAATTTCGAACGCACAGCGTTGAATTGAGCTCTGTGATTGGTTCGTCACCCTGTGCGTCCACGAGCACGGTGAGGCCTGGTAGCACTATCCGTTCGCTTTGTTTGCCGCTGGCGATATGACGTCACTCATGACGTCACTCGAAGGGAAGCGTCTATAACTTTATCTAACTATATTTAAAATATTTTTTATTTATTATTGATAAAAATTGTGTATTTGCGTAAAATAAGACACATTAATTGTATTTAATCACAAACTAATTGCGTTTAATCGCGGTTGGGGGAGGGGCCGTGCATTCCACGGACCGGCAAACTTAAGCGCGAACGGGTAAAGCCTGGTCCGTGAGCACGTAGAATTTTGTCTGTCGCGACTGTGCGACGGGCGCCCGCAGTGAGTGTGCGAGCGCGACAGCAATATAATTACGTGCGAGCGATAAGGATGGGTAGCTTGGGGTCATTGGACAAAATTCTAGGTGCTCACGGACCAGGCTTTAGTAATTATGTCAGCGACTTGGGATATACAGGGTGTGAAATAAAAGAGTATGTAATCCATTACAGTATTGTAATATTGTTATGTTATAGTGTCGGTTGTGATCACGCTAAATAGCTGTAGGTGTCCTTTTCACCCTCGGTGCGCTCCAGATACTCCTTTTCAATCAGGATGTCGATGCATTTCTGGAAAAAATACACCATGTTTATAAATATTTTCGTTTTAACTAGTACTTTAAGTTAACTCTTGTTTTCGACTTAAAGATAAGCGAATAAAGTTCATATTGAGATGGTGAGAGACTTGCAAACTTTGTACACCAAAGTGCATGAAATTATGTATTTTATTGTAAAATCGCACTTCATCATCATCATCATTTCAGCCATAGGACGTCCACTGCTGAACATAGGCCTCCCCCAATGCTTTCCATGTTGATCGATTGGTAGCGGCCTGCATCCAGCCCTTCCCTGCTACCTTTACGATGTCGTCGGTCCACCTTGTAGGTGGACGTCCCACGCTGCGTTTTCCGGTACGCGGCCTCCATTCCACTTATTGCCACTGTATTAGATATTATGACATTGTTTTTTTACAACAGTAAATAGCGAGTAGATTTCTCGCAAAATCAACAACGGAATAACATTTTTTTGGCACATACTTTGTATTGTTTAATTTTTGTATGCATTAAATCTGATGGAATCGCCAAAATTGAAAAATCAAAGATCTTTTAGGAGCTGTCAAAACAAATTTTCCCTAAAGATTTTATAAAGCAATAGGAACATGACGCAAATTGAATGTGGTCAAAATGTTTGCTCCACTCGGGAATCGAACTGGCGACATTACCTTGATGACGGGCACGCGCGGCTTGAACCGCGAGGAGAGCTGGTTGAGAACCTCCACGACGAGGTGCTGGTGCTTCAGAGTCTTCCGCGTCTTCATTATCCTCACTATAGCTGCCTGCAACGGAAAATATTATGACTATAGCTGCTTGTAACGGAAAACGCATGACTATAACTGCCTGTAACGGAAAGTTATTGCTTTTATAGGTTTTAACTCTTGTAGCAGTTTTGAGCCGACTCTGTTGTCCACACGACAAGAAGAATAGGTTGGTTAATAAAGATTTTTTGAACTTTTAATCGTATATGGTAACTATTATTTGTTGAGATTCCGACTGAGATATTTAGTGACCCCATATGGGGATCCTGGGGGAATTGATGGTTTGTCTGTGCGACTTGGGGTACATTGAGGATCTATGGGGTACATAAGTCCCCAATGTACCCCAGGCGTTCTGGGGAACCCGACCTCACCCCACTTGGGGTCTCCCTGTGATAGATAGTGTCTCTTGGGATACTTAACAAAAAATTCATGGAATACATTGCAATCTCTGAATAAACAGTGGTCCCTGGAGTACAAAAGGGACATGCATAGTGACCTCTACAATAGCGACCACTGGTATGTAGCCTCTACGTCTATTTTATTTATTTACTTTATACTAGCGGCCGCCCGCGACTTCGTACGCGTGGATCCCGTTTTACCCCCTTCATCTATCTTACGCGGTTTAGATATTTTCATACAAATGTTTTTTCCCGCTAACTCTCGTACCCGTGGGAATTTTGCAATATCCTGTTGTAACTAAGCTTTAAGTTTACTAAGGTACCTGCATGCCAAATTTCAAGCGTCTAACTTAAGCAGTTTAGATTTTTCATACAAAAGGATTTTCCCGCTAATTCCCGTGCCCGTGGGAATTCCTAAGTATCCTATAACCTGCCCAGGAGTACGAAGAATAATTATACCAAGTTTCGTTAAAATCCGTCAAGTAGTTTTTGTTTCTATAAGGAACATACAGACAGACAGACAGACAGACAGACAGACAGACAGACAAAAATTTTACTGATTGCATTTTTGGCATCAGTATCGATCACTAATCACCCCCTGATAGTTATTTTGAAAATATATTTCATGTACAGAATTGACCTCTCTACAGATTTATTATAAGTATAGATTTTGCATGTGAGCTTCCAGATCGATACAAAGCACTCATAATGCCAATTATATTGTCTAGGATATCTACATAGAAATCCCTGGGTTAGAATGCGACTCCCGGGTTACATAGTCATAACCCCTTAGACATAAAGAATAACAAATCAAAAATTACCTGTATGAGCATCTTGCGGTCCTCCTCGATGTGCTTGTGCGTGGCCTCCTGCTCCACCTTTAGCTCCGTCTTGAGCGGGATGTTGATGTTCACGCGCAGCTTTTTGCTGGAAAGAATAAATAAATAAATATCCTTGGACATTTTACACCACTGCGCCTCTAGTCCTAAACTAAGCAAAGTTTGTACTATGGGTACTAAAGCCTGGTCCGTGAGCACGTAGAATTTTGTCCAATGACCCCAAGCTACCCATCCTTATCGCTCGCGCGTAATTATATTGCTGTCGCGACTGTGCGACGGGCGCCCGCAGTGAGTGTGCGAGCGCGATAGCAACATAATTACGCGCGAGCGATAAGGATGGGTAGCTTGGGGTCATTGGACAAAATTCTACGTGCACACGGACCAGACTATAGACAACGAATATTATTGTTATTATTTCCAGGAACGGGACTATTCCCATCCCTCGTTCCCAATGCTGCAACTCCTGTGTAGCCAGGATCTACAGCTTGACCGCCAATAACCAGTGAAGGCCAAGTTTGTACCGAGGGAAAGTTACTGTCATTGGACCCGCACGAAATTAATCAGAAGAACATAGAAGTTAAGGTTCGACTTCCCTCCAGTGCAAAGCGGATGACAGGTGACAAAACAAAGGTTTAAGTAACTTTTAACAAAAGATATACACCACCGACAGTAAACATTAATTATGGGGATTTGCAATTGAAATGGTGGGAATGGGAAACGATTGACGAGAATAGCGCTGTATTCACAAAAAGAATACAAAGATGAGATACCCGTTTTTGTAATTTAGATCTTTGACCAACTTCCACTGACCTTTTACAGGTCTTACGCTTAACTCAGCCAGTGATGACGATGATTTTGTGACGGTCAAACGTCAGCGAGACTTCAGATTTGTATGCCCAGTCACGTCATAATACAGGGTGACTTTGTTATCAGTATCCAAATTTTTTTAATAAGCTCGTTAGAACAATTTGGCAATACAACTTTATCGTAACAATTTTTAATTGTGGTATTTTTCGCAAAAAAAAAATTGAAAGTCTAATCCGCGGGTGCCCATATCTTAAGTTTTAAAGGTTATTGCTTATGTTCGCTCACCATTATGTCTATTAAGCTTTGCAGTTAACTGTGTGTACGTATTTTTCCATGAACGAAGCAAATTTTCCACGTGAGTCAATTTGGAAACCGCGCGCAGCGGATGAAAATAATTAAATATGGAGAAAAAAGTTTTGTTTTCTTTACGTAAATCAATTAAGTTACTGATTCTGAGTCGATCTTGAAAATTTGGATACTGATACAAAAAATCACCCTGTATATCAACGTCACCGCTGGCGTGCCGCTCCCACACCTCAGACACTGATTGAGTTAACTGGACCTATAGTCGTAAACGCATCGAAGCTTGTCACACTTACTTTTTATATCCTACGTAGAGCTCAACCACGGATGATTCGGTGAGTTCGGACTCGTCGTCTTGGCACACCAACAACTTGGCCTTCAGCAGGATTTGCAGGACCTGGGAACAAAAGTCTTTTTAGAAACGTGATGAAATGATGCGCAAATGGAATTCAATTTAAGGCTGTGTCGAAAAGGGCGCGATGGAAAGAGACGGTACGTCCTAGTTAAATACAACGGTAGATTTATACACAGACTAGCGGCCGCCCGCGACTTCGTACGCGTGGATCTTTACCCACTTAGGGGTGGAGTTTTGTAAAATCCTTTCTTAGCGGATGCCTACGTCATAACATCTACCTGCATGCCAAATTTCAGCCCGATTCATCCAGTGGTTTGGGCTGTGCGTTGATAGATCACTATGTCAGTAAGTCAGTCAGTCATCTTTGAGTTTTATATACGTAGATAGGTTCATAGCATTAAAGTTGACTGAACTGTACTTTATTGTTGTTACTTGAAAGTACGGAGTGATCCATCTGTACCGCGTATTATTAGGTTTTCTTTACTTAAATAACTCCCAAATATCACGGTTCAAACACTGTCTTGACTTTGTGCCGTGGCGTTCGGACTTGATTGGTGTAAATCAAAAAGCCTTCCAACGTCACCAACACAAGGTATAAAGTCACTTGACGAGCTAACCTCTAATGATGCTATTCTTGTCATTGGAATATGCATCTTTTCCTCTAGCCACAGCAATATACACTCTATCCCAATGACATAAGGCTCACTGTACCTGCAGAAGGAAGTCTCCCTTGATGCCGGAGTGTTGTTCCAAATAGTGGACAGTCCAAGCATAATAATACTTTTCTTGTCAGTGGATTATGCACCTTATAACTTTCCTCAAGCCACAGCAATATACACTCTATCGCAATGACATAAGGCCCACTGTACCTGCAGAAGGAAGTCTCCCTTGATGCCGGTGTGGTGTTAGTTAGCGCACATTCATAATGACGCTTCTCTTCTTATAAGATTATGCACCTTATAACTTTTCTCAAGCCACAGCAATATACACTGTATCCCAATGACATAAGGCTCACTCTACCTGCAGAAGGAAGTCTCCCTTCATGCCAGTGTGGTGCTAGCTATAGTCTGGTATGCAAGCACGTAGAATTTTGTCCAATGACCCCAAGCTACCCATCCTTATCTCTCGCGCGTAATTACACACTCGCACTGCGGCCGCCCGTCGCACAGTCGCGACAGCAATATAATTACGCGCGAGTGATAAGGATGGGTAGCTTGGGGTCATTGGACAAAATTCTACGTGCTCAGAGACCGGGCTTTAGTCGCGCGTCAAATTTTTGCCATCTGAACATAGCCTACTGCAGCACTGGAATATACACTCTATCGCAATGACATAAGGCTCACTGTACCTGCAGAAGGAAGTCTCCCTTGATGCCGGTGTGGTGCTCCAGCTGCCGCACGGTCCAGCCGTGTTCTCGTTGTACTGAAGCGCTGGAATATACACTCTATCCCAATGACATAAGGCTCACTGTACCTGCAGAAGGAAGTCTCCCTTCATGGTGTGGTGCTAGCTATAGTCTGGTCTGCGAGCACGTAGAATTTTGTCCAATGACCTCAAGCTACCCATCCTTATCGCTCGCGCGTAATTATGTTGCTGTCGCGCTCGCACACTCACTGCGGGCGCCCGTCGCACAGTCGTAATGACGGCCCTCTTGTCACTATGACGCGCCTCTTGTCATTGGAATATGCACCTTATAATTTTCCTCTGGCCACAGCAATATGCACTCTATCCCAATGACATAAGGCCCACTGTACCTGCAGAAGGAAGTCTCCCTTGATGCCGGTGTGGTGCTCCAGCTGCCGCACGGTCCAGGCCGTGTTCTCGTTGTACTGAAGCAGCACCGCCATTTGGAAGGTGCTCGCTTGCAGCGTGTATCTGGAACAGACATTTGACATATTATTTGAGATGTGAAAAACGCAGCTCATATTGTGCTATTGATTAAAATTAATACGCATGTGTGGAGTATAAAGTAATAGACACCATTGCTCAACTACAACTAATCAATAGTCAAGTGTTTTGATTGAAAAAGAATTCAGTTTTAGGCAGACAAATACACAACTAACTGGAGATTGTTATTTAGCTCATCATTGCAGGAGTATGACCCTCTCTAATTTACCTGAGGCAAATGAAGGATTTGGCCTCTCTGATGGCCAGACGGGGAAAGTGGAGGTGGTCTTATTACGGCCTACCTACTGCAGACTCCGACATGTTGGAAACCAAAAATGTCAAATAAGTCTTTTTGTAACTTTGACATCTATCTTGTGACTGACGAAATTTAGTGAGATTATTCTGTGAGCCCGATAAAAGATTTTTTAGCGTCTTGACCTCGTTTCATTCAATAAATAGGCAACATTGTCGACCGTTATCCTAAACCTTTATCCTTATTCACGTAACAAAACTTCAACGACAACAAATCGCTGAGTTGTGATCCTATCGAGTAATCGTTCCATCGAAATGACCATTGTGAATACGGATTTAGAACTATTTTTCAATGGGACGACTTCTGAACGTCAGGGAGATCTTGACTGTCAAAATACGTGAATTACAAAAGTAGAAAGAAAGACAGCAGAAGTAGTAGTACCTGTTTTTGAAGCAGTTGGTGACGAGCTCGCCTTTGCTCATATTGTAGAGCCAGTTGAGCTTGCGACCGGAGTGCTGCGCCGAGTAGAACGCCGTGAAGCGGTGCACGGAGCGCTCCAACTGTTGATAAGAATATTTGTTGAAAAATAGCTCTTATTACAAGGATATAAGATGCCACAGAATTTCAGTTGCTATACTGGAAAAAGAGGGGAGGTTTGTACCCCAAGTTAGTAGCTCCCAACCGAAACTGGGTAGGGCGCAACATGGATATTGGACATAAGCTTTGTTTTGTCCATATTCATCCGCAGGCCTATCTGTTGGGAAACTCTATTAAGGTCTTCGAGCATTGTGCCAAGATCTTCCAGCGATTCTGCCATGACCACAATATCGTCGGCGACCCGAAGGTGAGTGATGTACTCGCTGCTAGTATTTACATAATATTATGTCGGTTGGTAGTCAAAAACGGTACACACAGGTCCTCGTGGGGTACAATAGACCCCAGTAGGATATGTCATATCCTACCATCAGTGGAGTACCAGAAACCCTAGAGAATTGAGATAGACCACATTTGGTTAATCTCAAATCACGTGCGTTCAGACCCCAGTAAGTGGGGTACGACAGACCCCAGTACGCTAGACCCTAGTCGAACGTACAGGCCTTAGTGGGGTACTGGGAGTGGAGATACTCTCATTTGCCTTCGGGGTGCAAAAAGACCCCAATAAGTACACACGGGTCCCTTTGGAGCAGAATAGACTTCAGTAGGTTGCTATCAAACCCTCACCTCGGTGGGCAGCGGCTGCTCGGAGCTGTCCGCCACATGTTTGCGGAAGTGATAGGGGTCCAACAGACCCCGGTGGGACACCACAGACCCCGGCACTCACCTCGGTGGGCAGCTGGAAGGATGACGACTGCTGGAAGGGCCAGGATCCAGACGACAGCACTTGGATGCTGAAGTCTATATGCAGCGGCTGCTCGGAACTGTCCGCCATGCTTGCGGGAGTGATAGGGGTACAACAGACTCCAACGGGGGTACAACAGACCCCAGCGGGGGTACAACAGACCCCAGCGGGGGTACAACAGACTCCAGCGGGGGTACAACAGACCCCAGCGGGGGTACAACAGACCCCAGTGGGGGTACAACAGACACCAGTGGGGGTACAACAGACCCCAGCGAGGGTACAACAGACCCCAGCGGGGTTACAACAGACCCCGGTGGGACACCACAGACCCCGGCACTCACCTCGGTGGGAAGTTGGAAGGATGACGACTGCTGGAAGGGCCAGGATCCAGACGACAGCACTTGGATGCTGAAGTCTATATGCAGTGGCTGCTCGGAACTGTCCGCCATGTGCTTGCGGAAGTTTTCGTTCAGGTCTTTGGATACTCCGATGTCCTGCGAACGACTCAACTGCTTAAAATGACGTTGTGTTAATTTTATTTACGCATGCTTTACTCTAGTGAAATGAGTGATCCTACTCTAAAGTACGGCCAACGAGAAGCGATACCAAATGTAAACAAACCCAATGTCATGGGTGAACCCGTCTGACTATGACATATTTTGGCGGGAGAACGAGACATTACGACAAATACACAAGATGGGAAGAGACAGAATATATTGTCAACTTGACAGTCGTATCGACCTTTTGTATCGCTGCTAGTTGGCCGTACTTTAATCTACTTTACTTGATAAAGGGTGGATTCGACCAAACAAGAGTAAATATTAATCTCAGAATAAATCGTCACTTATTTGATTTCCCATACTGAAACAAGAGCTTACTAAATCCCACTCAACACCAGGTGCTGAAAAGTCAGATTGTGGACAAATACCTGCCTTGTTATGCATAAAAAAATGAGTACTAACTATTGACATGGATTTGGTCAAATGTGTTTGATCGAATAAGTACATCTAAATATATAAAAGGAGAAACTGACTGACTTAGTGACAGATCAACGCACAGCCTAAGCGGCTAAACGTAGGCACTTGAAATTTGGAAGGGACGTAGCTTAGGTACCGTAGAGGTGCACTAAGAAAGGAATTCCCGAAATTCCCACGGGAACGGGAATTAGCGGGAAAATCCTTTTGTATGAGAAATCTAAACCGCTTAAGTAAGACGCTTGAAATTTGGCATGCAGGTACCTTAGTAAACTTAAGCTTAGGTACAACAGGATATTGCAAAATTCCCACGGGAACGGGAGTTAGCGGGAAAAAACATTTGTATGAAAAAATCTAAACCGCGTAAGATAGATGAAGGGGGTAAAACGGGATCCACGCGTACGAAGTCGCGGGCGGCCGCTAGTAATATTATGTATGTAATTGGCATCTAAACCAATTAATAACTACAGACGACAGCATCAGAATAACTTTTGAGAACCTCATGAGTTTTACATCGGTTAAAATTAGCACGACTTTTAAACCATTTTATCTCTCTATGATCTGTTATTGTCAGTTTAAGATGGATGAATTTTCTTTAATAAATGAGTATGTAGCAAAAATACAAGTACTTACCTGGAACATTCTCTGCAGCTTGCTGGTGTATTCGAAGCCGCACGCTTGTTTTAACTTTGAGATCATTGAAGCCTGTAACAGAAAATAGTTATTGTAGTATCAAAAGTTTTCGACCTTATGATTAATATTATTAATATACATAGACGATTATCACACTGCACCGCGCTCCGCCGCGGTACGCGGGACGACATATTTAATCATTATATGCAAGTACCTCAGTTTGACACAACACACTACGAGTTTGCGCGCGAGATTTTTTATATGTCGCCACGCGGAAGTGCAGTGTGATAATCGCCTTATGATTAGTAAATAAGGTTCCAATATTGGTGGCTATGATAGAGCCCTGTCAAGAGCGGTGTATAGTGATGCTACATATTTATTTTGTATTCCACAGTGTAGCAAGAAAATTGGCAAATGCAATAATTAACCTAAAGTGGTTAATGATAACTTGTCACCCAACCGCGGTATATTGTGCCCCAACTAGGGTATTTTGTGACAAGAGACCCCAGTTGGGGTACAATATACCGCGGTTGAGTTGACTACAAACTCCAGCTGGGGTGACTAGATACTCCACTTGGAGTGACTTACCCTAATTGGGGTGACTAAATACTCTAATTGGGGTATTAATAGATAACCCAGTTCTTTTTTCTAATTATTTTGCCCTATTTGTGTTTTCAATCTTTTCATGGCCTTGAGTTTTGCTTGATGTGAAAGTTTAAGTTACTAGAGGCGTTTAGAAACGTTGGGGTGACTACACACCCCAGATAAGGCAACCAAAGTGTATTATTACCTTTACATCATCACTGGCCGACAAGTGGAATCTTGCTGTAGAACTTCTGGAATACATCGCTCAGAAACTGTTGGGGTGGCTAGATACCCCAGTTGGGGTACTGCACACCCCAGATAGGGTAACAAAAGTGTATTACCTCTGCATCGTCACTGGCAGACATGTGCTGTACGAGTCGCTTGGCAAGCATCTTGCTGTAGAACTTCTGGAATACATCTTTGTCCTCGATGTACTTGAAAACCACCATCTGAAATGAGTTTACTGTTGTAACATGGGCTATGTCGATTTGTTTTATTTTCAGGACCCATATTTTAATGTGTATGGTAAGAAGACTGCAGGAAAGTAACTATTCGTGCTCTCATAACAATGAAGTATGACATTGCCTTAGGCCGATTTCATAGGGAACTTAATAAGCTTGTTTCAATTGACAGCTATCACGCAACCAATCTTAGGCTGGTTTTAGAGTCACGCTGACGCACGCTGACCGTCAGCGCTGACAGCCGAAATGTATGAAGCGTCGGCGCCGAGCGATCAGCGTCACTCAGGAACGTTCCCTTCAATTACATACATATTGATCTGTCAGCGCCGACGATCAGCGAGCGGTCAGCGTGATTCTAAAACCCGCCTTAGAGCGAAAAAACTTTAACGAATGCGTGAAAAAAAATCTTTGACGATTTTAGTACTTGCAAGTAGGAGTTACTTGGCTACGCTACGTCTTCCAACTCGAGAACTTTTCTGCCCCAACGACCATCGTCTCTACGAGCTATGTGCCCCGCCCACTGCCTACGAAGACGTAGCGTGTGCAGGCCTCCTACTAGGTGGACCGACGATCTGGTGAAGGTCGCGGGAAGAGCCTGGATGCGGGCAGCGCAGGACCGTTCATTATGGAAAACCTTGGGGGAGGCCTTTGTCCAGCAGTGGACGTCATTTGGCTGAAACGACGACGACGACGACGACGAAACTCCTAGGGGCGCTGTATAATCTGTCATTTTATGCAATATATGAAATGACAGATTTAAAAATCGTTAAAATTGTCCATAGATTACGCCCTTGAAGTTCGATCACTACATGCCCGGACACACACTGTATACGATTCGCACTTTAGGCAACTCTATTTTATCAACTTATACAGGTTGTTATATAAATGGGGTTATAATCCGACACTAGCCCATGTTAACATGTATTAAAATAATTAAAATGATGATATCAATATTCTGATTTCAATATAACATTTATATGCACATGTTAACATGGGCTATAGTCCATTCAGGATATGATGGTGATTTAGACAGATTAAACGTTTCGTTGATGCACCCAACTTTCTACGAATAAAAATATTAAGTTGTAAAAATCAATCACTTTTTTGTGTTTTCATCTTTCCAAAATAACAATTAATAATAATCTTTCTCAATTATCTTAAACAAGAATTTCAAATTAAATTACAAATTTGTAAAAAATTAGAATGTAAATGTAATAGAATTTTTTGTTATTTGTTGTTTTTATAGAATAAAATGCATAATATTTAATTATTTGTGATTTATTGTGTACCAACGTTTATTCCATATCCAGATAATGAACATTCGTAGATATAATTTTGATCAAAATTCGTAGATCGATTCTAAAAAATATTGAAAGGAGCGCCTCACTAAATAGAACTGTCATAATCACTTTCTTACGCTGAATGAACTATAGTGTCAGCTTAATCCCCATTTACCTGTATAAGTTGATAACGATGACTTACAACTTGGTTGAGCGTGTCTTCCAGTTCGGCTTCCTCAGGATTCTTGCTGGACTTCTTGAGAAGCAGGTCGCAGTACTTGGCTAGCAGTTCAGGACTCTTGGATGACGAGTTGGCGGCCTTTGTCACGGCGTTGCCTGAGGGATTGTTGTGAGTTTTAATAAGTAGTTCATAGAACGTTTATGTGATGTGTGGTTCCAGAAAAGTAGAAGAAAAGAACCACCTCCATCCATCTCGTGGAAATCGTAAGTGTCTATAAATGACCCACGCTGAACTGTCCCACCAAACTCAATGACAGGGGGGCGCTACCATCGTTCAACTATATGGTTTCCAACATGGCAAAAATCGGAACCAGCGTTCCGGTATTGACGGTGGCGCCCCGCTGTCAATGTCATGGATAGGACAGTTCAGTATTTTGGAACTATAGTAGTAGTATAGTCAAATTTGACAGATGTCAAATGACAAGTGGTTAAATAACAGAAAAAATGTTTTTCGAACTATGGTTAGCTTGACTTTTAGTACATTTTTTAACTATTAGTTTACATTTTGTTAACATTTAACCATTAGTAGCAAAATTAAACAATTATTTTAACCATGAATAAAAAAAACTGGGCTTAAGGGACAAATATGCGAACATCAGGCTTCCCTAAAATGTCGAGTGTAGGCCAAATCAGAAGTGATTCATGATTTTTTCATACAAACTTTATCAGTCTACCCCATTGATTTCGACATTAAACTTTCAGTGGGGTAAAATGTGTAATAATGAAACTAGTGATACCCATTTAGTCCCAATCGACTCTTGTTTTTTTTTTCATACATTGTGGACCTTCTGTATCAAACTCAAGTGAAAGTGGGTATTTTTATCGGAGAACCGACGATCACGTCTCAGCAAATGAAGCACAGGATGCCTGTTTATGGACCGACGTATATACCCATTCTTATGATACACCATACAAGAATGCATGGTAAATTCAGTGAACTGCTCCTGAATCGAATGTACCTACTACTACTATTTCTATTTATTTATATTAACCGGCAGACAGTGGTGACTGAGTTTGTTGCGGCGCTTCTTCTCAGCACTTGCCAAATGTTGGTCTCGAAGCGCTGGTAGGGTAAAAAGATTATGAGACATGTAGAGGCTCCTTAAGAGCATATTTTATGACGATTTGTAAGAACTATTTATTAGTCTAAACAAATAAAGAAATTTTGACTTTGACTTTGACGATTGTGTGACGTTTATTGGGAAGGCTTAAGTCTAACAACAGACTGCCAGTAGCTGAAATAATGAAAGTTTACCTTCAAGCAGTCAAGCATAGTAACCGCTAGAGATGGGTTATACTAGGTAAATTTGATACTTGGTGCACCTATTCCTAGTATTTATTAATACTCGATCCAAATACCTGTTCCACCTAGTACGTAGTAATTTAGCATACTTGACGCGACTAGTGCGGACTAATCCAAGTAATATGACTTTAAAATACAATTTTCTTTGAAAAGATACAACCGTAGTATGAATAATGCAATTTGAAATTGAATAATAATTCCTCCTTTCATACTTCAACAGGCTTAGGACTGTCAACTTAAAAGTTGGCGTATTTAAAAGATATCAATTTCATAAAAATATTTACATATTTTTTCTTATTTACATGAATATGGTTTGACTACGTTTGTGTGCGTTTGCTTCGTCGCGCTCAAA